AATGCTGACTAGCATGTAATTACCACCAACAATGTCTTACTTATTACATAGGTTACATGTCTAAAAACAAAAATAATATACATTTTCTTATCTTCTTGTAACAAAATTGTAATTATAATTACTACTCTGGTAACATTAATAATGTTAAGTTCAATACATGTAATGTTGCTCCAGTATGTTAACATGGAAGATTTCCCATTTAAAGAATATTCAAGTCTCATTTATCCATGAAAGAACTTACACAATAAAAATACTACTTGTTATGTATGCCTATAATTAATGACCCAATATCCTACTGTCCGATGAATAAATGAAAAAATGGCATGAAAATCCAACAAGTTTTCCAAAGAGATCCATCAGTAATACATAATTTACATTTGTTAATGTTTTCCATGATTAATGTGAATTTGTAGTTGTAACATTTGTTTTTATATATGAGGTCATCATCCTCCATGCTGGAATCTTTAGTTCTGATCTGGAATATTGCATGTTCTCCCCTCCTAGAAGTTCTCAGGCTTCAGAAACCTTCTTTAAGATGTTTCTCTATAGAAATAATATCTTTCTTCCTATAAAATACAAAGTATGTTCTTTCCTTTTAAATAAGTTTAGCTGATTATCATGGTAGCTTTTTATGAATCTTGATTTCAAGTTTATTCCAATGAAGTTCATGTTTGAGTAAGGGGCATCCAGAACATATTCCTTCTTCCCAATCCATGTGTATTAATATTGCATCTAACTGTTTTATTTAGCTAAATGCTTAGCTAAATTTGTTAGTTTGGGTATTTGTTTTTACAATTAACACTATGTGGCACAAGAACAGACACTTAGATAAATGGAATAGAATAGAGAACCCAGAAATGGACCCACAAATGTATGGGCAACTAATCTGTGACAAAGCAGGAAAGAATATCCAATGGAATAAAGACAGTCTCTTCAGCAAGTGGTGCTGGGAAATAGCAACATGCAGAAGAAAGAACCTGGACCAATTTCTTACACCATACACAAAAATAAACTCAAAGTGGATGAAAGACCTCAATGTAAGACAGGAAGCCATCAAAATCCTCGAGGAGAAAGCAGCAAAAACCTCTTTGATCTTGCCCGCAGCAATTTCTTGCTCAACACGTCTCCAGAGGCAAGAGAAACAAAAGCAAAAATGAACTACTGGGACCTCATCAAAATAAAAAGCTTCTGCACAGCAAAGGAAACAATCAGCAAAACTAAAAGGCAACCAACAGAATGGGAGAAGATATTTGCAAATGACATATCAGATAAAGGGTTAGTATCCAAAATCTACAAAGAACTTATCAAACTCAACACCCAAAAAACATAAACCAGTGAAGAAATGGGCGAAAGACATGAATAGACACCTCATCCAGATGGCCAACCGACACATGAAAAAATGCTTACCGTCACTCATCATCAGGGAAATACAAATCAAAACCACACTGAGATACCTGCCACACACCTGTCAGAATAAAAAGCTATATAAACAGGCAACAACTTAGATGTTGGCTGAGGATGAGGAGAAGAGGATCTCTTTTGCACTGTTGGTGGGAATGCAAGCTGGTGCAGCCACTCTGGAAAACAGTAGGGAGGTTTCTCAAAAAACTAAAAATAGAACTACCCTGTGACCCAGCAGTGCACTACTAGGCATTTATCCGGATACAGGTGTGCTATTCGAAGGGACACATGCACCCCCATGTTTATAGCAGCACTATCAACAATAGCCAAAGTATGGAAAGAGCCCAAATGTCCATCGATGGATGAATGGGTAAAGACATGATATATATATATATATATATGTATATATATATATATATATACACACATACATACACACACACAATGGAGTATTACTCGGCAATCAAAAAGAATGAAATCTTGTCATTTTCACCTTCGTGGATGGAACTGGAGAAGTATGCTTTAAGTGAAGTTAGTCAGAAAAGCAAAAATCATTCACTCATATGAGGACTTTAAAGACAAAACAGATGAACATAAGGGAGAGCATAATATAAAAACAGGGAGGGAGACAAAACAAAAGTGACTCATAAATATGGAGAACAAACTGAGGGTTGCTGGAGGGGTTGTGAGAAGGGGGGATGGGCTAAATGGGTAAGGGGCATTAAGGAATCCACTCCTGAAATCATTGCTTCCCTATATACTAACTCATTTGGATGTAAATTTTAAAAAATAAAAAATAAAGTTAAATTATAAAAAAATAAAAATTAAACAAATTTAAAAATGGAAATTAAAAAAAATTAAATTAAGACTATGATAGAAATGTAATAAATAATTTTATATTTATTTTTGAGAATTCAAAATATATGAACTGAAAGAGGAAATTAATATTTGCAATAAAATTTCATTATCCACCTCCTAACTGCCCCCTTTTGGTATATTTCAGGTCTGAGAGCTTCTCTTTAATTCCAAAGAAGATAAAGAAAAGGTAGAGATTAGAATTCTAAATTTGAAATACTTACCTAAATGTCTAAAAGACAACATCGGGTCTCCAGTATCATATAATATATTCACTGAAGACAAAAACAACCATCAACTTATGTGTTTAGGTTAGTACAGAGAAAGAGGTCACTGCTTTTAAATTTGTACACATAGGAGGAAAATGTATGTAAGTAAAATATAAAGGGGAGTAATTTGTGAAGAAAATACTAGAAGTTAACTAGTATTTATATTTAATACCCAATATGGAAAAATGACCACCAATTTCTCCTCTCTATGAACCACACTTCATACCAAAAGGAGTATTTAGTCCCCGTCTCCTTGAATCTGGGTTGGTCTTTGATCAACAGAGTGCAACCGAGAAGAGACATTAAGAGACCATCAGCTTCTGCTTCTTTATTCTTGAAATACTCACTTTCTGAGAGTGGTACACCCTCTCAGAAACCAGCCACATAGAAAGATCATGTGGAGGACAATTTAGAAGACATGCTTGTCAGTAGTTCTCTTGGCCAACAGCTAGCAAGAGCTGCCAGCCCTGTGAGGGAGCCACTTTGGGTGTTGTAGCCCGGTCAAGTCCTAGTTGACATCATGTGGAACAGATAAGCCATCCAGCTGAGTCCATTCAAGTCACAGAATGATATGAGAATGATAGGTCACTACATTTGGGGTAGGTTGCTATGCAACAGTAGATAATTAAAACATGTAATAGAAACAGTTGACCAGTTGTGAAACTGGTATGGAAGTAACATATTAAGCTGAGGAGGATGAAATTTAAGATAAATACCTGGCTGGGGCCCCTAAGTGGCTCAGTCAGTTAAGCGTCAGGCTCTTGGTTTCAGTTCACGTCATGATCTCATGATTCATGGGTTCAAGCCCCACATTGGTCTCTGTGCTGACAGTGCAGAGCCTCCTTGGGATTCTCTGTCTCCCTCTTTGCCTCTCCCTCACTCATGCTCACTGTCTCTTTCTCTCTCAAATAAATAAACTTTAAAAAAGATAGGGAGCTGGATGGCTCAGTCAGTTGAGCATCCAACTTCAGCTCAGGTCATGATCTCACCATCCATGGGTTTGAGTCTGGAGCCTGCTTTGGGTTCTGTGTCTCCCTCTCTCTGCCCCTACCCCGCTCATGCTCTGTCTGTCTGTCTCTCTCAAAAATGAATAAACATTAAAAAAAAACAGAAATACCTGGCTAACATATTTATGCTAGTTAAACAAAATAGCCTCTTAGGGACACAGATGTTTTTCATTTTATGTATTTGAAAGTAAAGGAGAAAACATTTTGGAAGACAGCCTCTTCATAATGCAGTTTTACACTTAATGTGGAAAGAAAAATAGAAGCATTTAGTAATACTTCATAAAAGTCAAAGTTTCCTTGAAATTTTTATGTTTAAAAAGGGAAAGCAAAAAAAAAAAAGCACAAAAAAACCTTAAATATAAGTAATTTTAAATAGAAAATTTTCAAACTTTACTGAAAAATGTTGAGGAGAAGGTAAAGAAAATGCAATGTGATTGTGGAGAAAAATTCACTTGCAGTGACAGAAGTGAAACAAAGTTTTAAAATGTCTTCTTTGCTCTTGTAATTCTTTTTCATATACGTTGTGGAAGTTATCGCATTCAGTTTTAATTTATTTGTTAATATGTTTGTCTTACATCATTAAACTATAAAAATATCCAAAGCAGGTATTTGTCCTAATTACATTTATATAACTGGGATAATACAGACATTAATGGATATTTGTTTAGTGAATGAATGATTTAATATAAACTAATAAACATGTAAAATTATTTGTGAAATGCAAAATCAACCAATTACCAGAAGCATGCCCTTTGTCCAAGTAGCCTGGGCAATTTTATGGGGTGTTCTAATCCTCTTGGTCTGAGATGCAAAGAAAGCCAAAAAAGCCCTCTTTTAGAGGACGCAAGAGGCTGACTATAACATGTAAAAAATAATGCATATTTTAAAAAATCAGTAAATATATATTCCAAAACCTAAAGTTTACAACACCTCTTAGAGTTGTAAACAAAGTAATTATAAATGTTTTCCAATCATTTTAGGTCATGGAATAGCAAACCTGTGTTAAGCATTTTGTCTGGAGATGTGAATGATCTTCCATGGTCTCTGTTCTGAAGAGGCCATGGTACATTGAGCAGGTTGATATGTACGGAGAAGGGAGGCAAAAAAGCAAAATTTTCTAAGTGCCTATATGTGTAAAGGATTATTCTCAAGGTCTCTGATTTTATTATCCTTTTAAAAACTCACACATTGGGAATAGTTTATTCTCATTTGTAGGTAAAAAAATTAGGGTCAGTTGCAAATCAAAATCACAATGAGATGTCACCTCACACTGACAAGAATGGTGAGTATCAAAAAGGCAAGAAATATCGAGTGTTGGAGAGAATGTGGAGAGCTGTTGGTGGGAATGTAAACTGGTACAACCACTGTGGAAAACAGCATGCAGTTTCCTCAAAAAATTAAAAAGTAGAAACATCAGATGATTCGGTAATTCCACTATGGGTATATATCCAAAGAAAATGAAAACGTTAATATGAAAAGATACATTCACCCCATGTTTATTGCAGCACTATTGACAATAGCCAAGATATGAAAGCAGCCCAAATGAGTATCAGTAGATGAATGGATAAAGAAGATGTGGGGTGTGTGTATAATGGAATGTTAATCATAGAAAAGAATAAGGTCTTGCCATTTACAACAATATGGATGGACCTAAAAGGTATTACACCAAGTGAAATAAGTCAGACAGAACAAGACAAATACCATATGATTCTACTTATATTTGGAATCTAAAAAACAAAACAAAACAAATGAACAAACAGAAAAACAGAGTCTTAAATACAGAAAATAAATTAATGGTTGCCAGAGGGGAGGCAGGTGGGGGAATGTATAAAATAGGTGATGGGGATTAAGAAGTACAAAAAAAAAAATAGGATGAGAGATACTTAGTAACTTGTTCAGGGCAAGATAGTAAAATGGAGAGCCAATATTTAGATATCCATTATGTTTTACTTTCTTTCTTTCTGGCTCTGAGACTTCAAATCCCAAAACCATAAATTGACAGTATTGACATGAGTCTATTCAAGGTACTATAAGGGCAGGGTCAAAACTCCCCTGGAAGAAAGAACCTCTGCATGTATGGGATACTATAAGAAGGTTCTCTTTGTGTATGTATCACTATTCTTTACTGCTCCCTACTAGTGTGGCTATTCTGCAGGAGCACAGAATGGCAAAGAGCTTTCAGAGTCAGGCAGATTTGCACTACAATTCTGGTAAATGTGGTAGATATGCAACTTTGGAGAAGTTACTGAGCTTATCAGAACTTTCCTATCCATAAAATAGGAATGACAAGTGTATCTCATAGAGTAGTTATAAGGATCACATAAATGAGGTGTATGTTAAGTATGTAATATAACATCTGGTGTAAATACCCTCTTAGCAAATGGTGGGGATTAGTCTAGAGAATCTTTATTTTTTTTTAATGTTTATTCTTTTTTTTTTTTTTTTTTTTTTGAGAGACAGAGAGAGAGTGAGCAAGGGAGGGGCAGAGAGAGACACACAGAATTTGAAGCAGGCTCCAGGCTCTGAACTGTCAGCACAGAGCCCGATGCAGGGTTTGAACTCACAAGCTGTGAGATCATGACCTGAGACGAAATGAGACGCTTAACCGAGCTAGCCACCCAGGCGCCCCTAGAGAATCTTTCATTATAACTACTCCATTTTGTGATTGATTGATCTGGTTCAGCATATGTAGATAGGACATTTTTCTAGGCATACAAGATTTTGGCAGTTGTCCCTAGATACTCTTGCTAAAATAGGGGGTATCATGCAGTACCTTTTATGACCTGACCAGTAATTACAACCCTTAAATTTTAGACCGTGTCTCCAAGAATGAGGTATTAAATGTCCTTTAGAGAGAGACTCAGTCCCATGCTTTGTGATGTTTTCCTTTGACATTTGGAGAGAGGAAATCACTCAGGAAAAAAGGCTTTGCTTCACTTCATGGGGCAATTTTTCCCCAGCCTTCTCTGGTAGTTCGCCTTTTGACTATGGCTTTAGTGAAGCAAGAAGCATTGGCTCAATTTGCAGATATGAAAACTAATCCCTAAACAAAGAGTCTCATAAAACTAAAAGACAGAGTATTTGATCAGGGATCTTTAGGCAGATCCACTGGTTCTTAGAACTTTTACTAAGCCCCTGGATCTGAACAGAAACAGTTAATTTTCAGAAAGCTGTAAATATTTTTTTTTTTAAATGAAGTGCTTATTTCTACCCCAATCCTGGCCTCATCCCAGCCAAAGCTGGATCTAGGATATTTGAAGTCTGAGTGCCTGCCTTCCATTCTCCTCAGGCAGTGGAACAAGGAGGGAGGTCAGAGCTCAGAATCCTGACTCCAGATAACACGGGAGGCCTGGGAAAAATAGGAGAAAAGACATGAATTCATTAAAGAATAACAGCCGGAGCAGGCACTTACCAAATGAATTGGGAAGGAGATTTCTTAGAAAGCCTTAAGAATGTGGAGGAAAAGGAGCAGTTAATCTGAAATACAAAATTGAAAGACACGGCAGATGCATGATTCTCGTCTTCCAGATAAGATTCCTTGTGGAGTTCAAAAGCATCTAAAGGAAGCAAGACAATTGGCTGCTGGGCTCAATATGTAAACACAGTGCTGGTTGACACAGTGGAGATGTTTATTAGAAAAGTTAATGCAATGTCAGGGCGGAAGATCAATGTTTAACCTGATTTCATTGCAAGCTATTGGCCTGCCTTGGCATACAGAATGGAAAATTAGCAAAGCAGAAAAAGGAAAATGTAAGGGACTTTTTCACAAGTAAACTGTCAAATCATGGACACTGATATTTGTGATAATAAAAAGAAGTCAAGACTCTTCTGTATTTTTAGTTAGTACGTGTTGCTTACATTGCATATTCACATGTATTTTATTAATTTGAAGAATACATTAAAATTTTTACTTGCCTCCATATCCAGGTAGAGTCAGAATTTTAGAGATTCGCTGTGTTTGGTCCTCTGATTTTATAGATTAAGCCCTAAGGAGCAGGGCTGTTGCATGATTTTCCCGAGGTTACTCAATCAGGTAGAAGTATGATCAGTGAAGCACATTGACTCCCATTTTACAAGTGAAGAAAGACGCGTGAGACCAGCAGAAAGATTGTTGCCTATGCCATGAATCCAGTCTCATGCTACTACCTAGGGAACCTGTACTTGATACATGAGGCATTCTCACTGTAAAAATATCTTTAGGATTCTTTGATATAAAATATCCTGCAACTGTTATTTAATTAATCCTCATCATACCATGAACAAAATAAAGATCATTCTTCATGGTACAGAAATAAAAATATATACTTGATGAGTTAAAACAGTGTTTTGATGCTCTCACATGACCTCTCGCTTCCCTTTTAATTTGCCAATTTGGGTAATATCTAACGGAGTTCTTGCAATCTTTTTCTACAGTGATTATTAAAGGTGATATTTCAGTCTATATTAAGAAATTCTCACTGGAAAAGGAAACTGAGAAATGATTTTTTTTTCCATTGGATTATACTTCAGAAAGAGAAGCGCTCAGAAATAAATGCTGTGTGTTTCCTGGGCATGAGGAAGCCTGTTAATGGCCCCGGGAAGAGAGAGTGAAGAGTGTTTTCCATGCAGCAGCAAGGGATGACCTCACAGAGGGTCTGCTGCAGTGCTGGCCTATGGAGCTCACTCCTGTCAGAGACACTGATTAGTACAAGCTCCCAGTGCAGCTGTCCACTGAGGATGACCAATTTAAAAACAAGGAGTTAGCCAGTTAATTACGTTGTCAGCAATAAATGTAACAATGGGCCGTGGTGGGAATCTAGTCCCGTGATGGGTCCAGACAGCCATCTGTACCGTTGATCCTTCCCCATCCACTTGGCACTGGTTGCTGCAGCATTGGTTTAGATGAGTGGCTTCGCAGTCAGGTGGTCCATAGGAACGATCTCTCCTCCTCTGCAAGGCTGTCTTCATTCAGTTTCACTACTTCTAGAGGAATCAACTTTGAGGGCACACTGGGGAGTCAACAATAACCCTGGCCCTAATGATTAATCAGAAGATCATTCATTCAACCTTGTTTTTTCATTTGCTAACACTTACTGAGAGACTTCTGTTTGCCAGGCACACAACAGAAAAGTAAGTGTATGAGGAAACCTGAGTACATCTATATAGTAGAAGTTAATGTACATTAACATGCCAACCCTAGTGATTCTTTGTGTATTTTGTGACCAAGGCACTGGATGATTCTCCTTCAGACAAATAAATTTTTATGACACATATGGACAGTTAGAGCTGCTGAGATCTTTTTTCCCAATTGTTTTTGCTACTCTTTCTTTGAACTCTTTGAATCAGTTTTGAAGGTTGTTATTAGAAAATATTAGAACAGAAAGGCAGCACAGAAAAATCTTATGTAATATTTGTCTGCTTAAATTAAGAAAAATGAAATCTGTTACTTGATGTTATTGATTAACATTTGATCTATTATTCCTTTAGCCAAACATGATGAATTGCTGGTTTGATGACTGTATGTTAATTTCAACTAGATTTCATCAAATTCCGGAGGCATATCACTCCAGTTCTGCTCCTCGGTATCAGAGAATACTTTAGAATCAGTTAGATCTTTTTTCTGTTCATGCTCAGAGGGAATGTTTAGACTTTAGGATGGAAACAGCTGAAGAGCCCTGAGCAAACATTACCTCATCTTCCATTTCTTCTTCCTTTTGTATTGTCTTTTTCCACTGCTCTATTTTTGTCTTTTTCGCCTATTGCTAACCAGATCCAGTCTCATCCCTAATTCCTATCTATAAATATGAAGCACAGGTATTTTAAATGAATAATGCTTAAAGTTTCTTGCTCTTAATTGTAAAAAGTGGGTGCAATAAATGTTCTATATTTGTCTCTTGCTGGAGGTTTTTTTGTTTAACAGATCAGAGCCTTAAAGCAGAAGGAGAAGGAGGAGGAGGAGGAGGAGAAGGAGGAGGAGGAGGAGGGAGGAGGAGGAGGAGGAGGAGGAGGAGGAGAAGGAGGAGAAGAAGAAGAAGAAGAAGAAGAAGAAGAAGAAGAAGAAGAAAGAAGAAGAGGGGGAAGGGGAGGGGGGGAATCGGAATTTCAGTATATCTATCTTACTCCATTTGTTCCATTTTGCTTCAAATAGGTTTTATGATGAGTTGGCATTTTAAAATAAATATCCTATTAGTCTGATGAGAGGAAGAGAACACACTGACATGTGATTTGAAGAAAAATTTAGGTTTGGATGGAAAATAAGTTTCGATGATATTATAGTAACTGCCTTATTCTTTGAACATTATTTTCTGAGAACAAAGAAAATAAATATAACCTTTCTTTCCTCCTTCCTTTCTTGCATCCTTCCTTCTCTTACTGTCTCCGTCTCTCCCTCTCTGTCCTTTCTTCCTTTCCTTACTTCCTTTTTCTTTTTGTCTTTTTCATCTTTAAGCACTTAATATGTGTCCAGACTGAGCTGGGGGCTGGTGAAGAGTAAGGAACATAGCCTATGCCCTCAGAGACCTTATAGTACAGTTGGGAAGATTGACCAGTCAAAAGGCAATTTCAATTCCTTGTTTAAGTGCCCTCAACTAGGATTTCATGAAAGCTCTTTTATAAAGGAGGTGTCTAACCTACACTTGACAGTGTCCTTTAAGTAGAAATCTGAAGATTGATGAAGCGTTAGTTAGGTAAATAGAGATGTGCATTATTTTAAGGTATTGGAAACATCAGGAACAAGGCCACAGAACAAAGAGAGACCACAGGACCTTCAAGATGACTTTCTCTTGTCACTTTCCCCCAACCTAATTATGGAAAATCTTACGAGTAAGAGGGGTGCATGCATGCGTATGTGCGTGCACACGTATGTGTGTCTGTTTAGAAGATCATAAAGAGAATTACACTTTTCTGGAGAATATAGAATTGTCTTAGAATTCAGCTTAGAAATTTCTGGAGAGGAGAAAGGAACACTTACTATATGGATAATAAAAGCTATATATTGGATGCTTTGAGTTGTGACAGTCACTGCACTAAATGATTTATTTTAATGAATTTTAAATTAACTTAGGAAGGTAATATTATTATCATTATTATTATTTGGTTTATAAGGAAAGAAGTTAAAGCAATGAGGGTTTAAGCAACTTACGCAAAGTGCTATAAATAATGAGTGAGGCAATTTCCAAATCCTTCTGTTTTTTTTTTTTTAATGTTTATTTATTCTGAGAGAGCACAAACATGAGTGGGGGAGGGAAAGAGAGAGGAAGAGAGAGAGAATCCCAAGCAGACTCTTTGCTCTCAGTGAAGAACCCCACACGGGGCTTGATCTCACAAACCTTGAGATCATGACCTGTGCCGAAAACCAAGAGTCAGACGCTTAACCAACTGAGCCACCCAGGTGCCCCTAAATCCATCTGTTTGATTTGATAATCCACCTTTTTAATAAAATCTTATACTGCCTCATGCAAATATCATAAAGATCAAAAAGAACAAAAATAGAGACACTCTATTTGCAAGGAGGAGCATCATGGTAGCAGTAGAGTACTCCCCCAGTACCCACTTCAGGTAAGGTGCCTTGCAGCACACTTTGGCAAATATGTGAAATAATTATATTTTTTGTATAATTCTTACATGGTTATTATTCCTACATAACATCTTATGTAATTGTTTCTTATATAGTTGCATAATTATTTTATAGAATTCTAACATTTTACAGTTTAGATACGGAGACACAGATATGTATATAAAATTCATAATACTGAGTAGCCATGATCATAAATAACATTTAATTGTGATTTGCAATTTCTAAAATCATTTTCACGTAAATAAATTATTTGAGTTTCAAAAAAGTAGGTAAGATGGTTATATAAGTTTGGGCTGAAACAGAACTATGTAACAAACCCTAAATCTTAGTGGCTTATAGCTACATTTTTCTCTTGACCTTTGATCTGTAGGTTGCTTTTCGTTTCCTGATCTTGTGGGGGCTTGTCTGGCCTTGAGGGGGGTAATACTTGACTCTAGCTTCTAGTTAGGTTTAGTTCTACTTAAATATGTCATTCTGAGGCCCAGGCTAAAGAAGCAGTGCTTCCCAGGGCATGCTATCCTTAAAGTGGATCACAGGAGCACAAAAGGAAGGAAAACACAGCCATGAAAGCACATTTAAAGCGTTTGCTCATGACATATCTCTTAACCTTTCATCAGCTAAATCAAGTCAGATGGCCAAAGCCAACATCAGTGGGAGAAGGAAGTATGTTCCACCCACAGTGGAAGGCACTACAAAGTTTCAAGGCCAAGGATGTGGATCCTACTACAGGGAAGAAAAGAAGTGGGAACAATAATCCCCTTTCCAAATGAGGACAGAATCCCTGAGAATTTAAGGGACCTGCTCATGATCACACAGTTCATAAGCAGGAAGGCTGGGATTCATTTCTTTGTCTCAGAATTCTGACTTTAGTTTGCTTTGCCACGACACAAAATTGCTCTAAAAAAAGAAAGCAGTTACTTAAGGACCAGGAGTCTGGAAATTTTTTGGAGAGATGAGACTTGACACAGATGTGAAAAGATATGTAGGCATTAAGTAGGTTAATTTTACATGCTGGTTTACCTGAAATAGTCCCTGAGTAATCAACCCCTCCTTCCACCTTCCATGCCCCCCTCCATAGGAGTCCCAGTTTGGAAGAAAAATTAATTATATGGTCTCTTTAGGCTTTGACAAGTAGGTAGGAATAAGAAGTATGTTTCACTGAAGCAGGACTTTGTGTATAATTCCAGCGGGTGGAGGGGGGGCAGAAATACAAATGGTATGTTCAAATGCCATGAAGAGACTAGTTTGCTTGGTGTGGAGGTGAGAAGTTGGGGATGTTTGGAGCAATTTGTTGGAGTCATAGTTAAGCCAAATTTGTTGGTTGCCAGACAGAGAAGACAGGGCTTATTTTCATAAGTAGAAAGACATTGAAAATACTGGAACAAGATCGTGACAGTATTACAGGTGGTGATTTAGAAAGATAAACGTGGGACAAATTGAATTTAAAAAAGAATGGGGGAAGGGTGTCAGTTATTGAACAAATTAAGTTGCCTGGATATCAAGTCATGATAGTCTAGACCAAATTGAAGAGAATGGACTATAATGGATAGGTAGTAGAGTTGTAACAAAAGAAGAGTATGAAACACCTACATGGAAATGTACAGAAGCCAATTGGACATATGAAATTGGAACTAAGAGAAAGATCTATGTTAGAAGTATAAATTTGAGAATGTGGTCTTGCCATTTACTGTGTGACTTTAGGCAAGTTACATCACCACTTTGAACTTATTTTTTTATTAAAAAAAATGGAGAACAAAGCCACACTTCCATGCAACAGTGAGCACCCACTCTTCAAAAAAAAAAGTTATCCATGATTATTCATTTGTTTTTTGTTTTTTTTAATTTGTTAATATTTATTTATTTTTGAAAGAGAGAGAGAGAGAGAGAGAGCGCAAGTGGGGTAGGGGCAGAGAGAAAGGGAGATACAGAATCCGAAGCAGGCTCCAGGTTCTGAGCTGTCAGCACAGAGCCAGATGAGAGACTCAAACTCATGAACTGAGATCATGACCTGAGCTACCTAGGTGCCCCTGTGATTATTCGTTTGCACTTTAAGCAAATTCTTATTGAATTCTTGATACATTATTGGCATGGGAGTATATTCTCTGAGAAATACAGTGTTCATTAGAAATAGGTCTACTCTTAGGAGCTTACGATTTAGTAGGAGAGATACATTTAATAATCCAAAATAAATGACGCAGAGGCCCAGAGAAATGTTGAATTTTAGGGTGGAAGTTATTTCTAGTTGTGGAAATTACTTATAAAGCCAATGGTCTAGGCCCTGCAGAATTACTAGTATTTGGATATATAAAGGTGATTGGGAAGAACAAATTCAACAGAAGGACCAACATAGTAACAACAATCTCTAACTTCCAACTTTATACCCTAATGAGTAACAACCCAGTGGTTAAGTTCAGCTTATCTTGTGGTTATATGGAGAGTAAGTGGGAAATAAGCTTGAGAGTGAGGTCAGTGAGAGCCTTAATGCTTTAAATATTAGGCTGTGGAACATAAAGGAGTCACACTGAGAGATCTGAGGGAAGAGGAAGAAATGACATTATCAGAGAATTGCATTATTTAGAAATACTTTGGCCATATTTTAAATGAGTTCATGTAAAAGGGGACTTCAGTTAGGAAACCCTTGAAATAAATCAAGAGAGAAATGATAAGGGCCTGTACTAGGATATAGGTAATGAGATTGGAAAGAATAAAGTGGGTGAGGGAAATATTAAAAATGTAGATTCAAAATTACTAAGCAAGTGGTTGGATTAGAATGGGAAGTGATTGGAGCAAGGGAAAGAAAACAATTATTGAGATTGCTGAAGCTTCATGCCCAAGAAAAATGGTCACAGTCTTGACAGAAACAGTGATGACGGGATTTGTGCAGAAAAACAGTAAGTTCTGTCTTGGCTTATTGGGTTTCAGGTATATGTGGAGTAACCAAGTAGTGATATTTAGCAGACAATTGGAAATATGTGGTAAAATCTTAGGAGAGAGGTCAAATCTGAAGATATTAACTATTGACTACATAGAATTGAAGATGAATTAGGGTTTCAGAACGTCAAGGAAGAAAGCGTAGAGAAGAGGAAAAATGAATTTAGTGATGGAGAAAAAAAATGATCTTGAGAAGGCAAGAAGAGGTTAAGAAGACTGAAATGCAATAGTGAAATAGAACTGTGAAGAGGTTTTGCTACATAAATGAAGGAAGGACATGGATGCTTTCTAGGGAAATCATGCTGGGACCCACTCTGAAGAAAGAGGGATACACCACTTTGGTATTTTTATGATAAATTGAATTTGACTTGACAGTGAAATGATCACAGAGTGATGCCAAGAAGCATTAGAAGAAAGGTGTCATGAAGAAGCAGACA